GCAAAATTCTTTTTACATAATTAAAATATGCACAAATATGAAGTTTGAAATGATCAATTTACTGTTAGTTCATTAGCTACCACTTGAAGTTAATATTTACTTTTGGTGTCGTTAGTGTGTCCTTTAACACTCTACACTAAAATAGACTTATTTTGAATTTTTAAATTTTTTTCTATATTTTTTCGCTTCCGATGTCAGATTTTAAAACGTACAATAGTGATAAGTGAAAAGAAACCTTGAAAATGATTAAATATATCAATCGATTATATAAAAAAAATATGTTTCAGGAGAATTTGTTTTACCAAAAGGTACAGATGTTATTATATCAATTATACGAATGCACCGGAATGAAAAATATTGGTCGAATCCATTGATGTTTGATCCGGATAGATTTCTATCAGAAAAAACAAATTGTTTACCATATTATTTCATGCCTTTTAGTGATGGATCAAGAAATTGCATAGGTAAGTATGAATAAATTATAAATTATCGTAGTAATATTGATTTACATGTAATTGACAAATTTACAGGTGCAAAATACGCAATGATGTCCATGAAAGTTATTTTAGCAACGTTGATAAGAATGTTTGTATTTAAATTGAATCATAGCATTGAGATAGACAAAATCAAATTAAATTCGGATATAGTATTATCTACAGTTGAACCTTTAAAGATTAAAATTGAAAAACGTAATCTTTTATATTCTAAATAATATATAAATAGATAATATTGTAGTAGTATGGGGGAAAACATTATTCACAGTACTCGTTTATTTCATATACAGCTTTAATAATAAAGACAGAATTTTGATACAAGATATATGTATATAAAATAATACATAAACGAATAATGATTAATGATTTTAAGTATAGTTCAATAATCATAGAGGAAAGTCTCGGATATACTACTTTATTTTTGTATAATATTATAATAATATTTGTATAATACACTGGCCAACAAAATTAACGCAACACCTGTTCCACTCTGCAAAAATAGGTAAATTTCAAGACTGAACAAGTTCGTCAAAAATCGTTGTATCGTAATTTTTAAAAAAGCATTTCACAGCTTGAAACATCTACTTTTCAGATCGCTGCTTGAAAAAA